GTTATCCTCATCTTCATTGCCATATTCACAACATTTCACAATGTTTCCTCAACGACACATGGCCCAGTGGATAAAGGCATTGGTTAGGTCCAGTGACTAGACCCAAAGTGTTGTGAGTTCAATACTAGGCTACAGCAGTGGTAGACCTAAAAGTTGGAGAGTTAAGTTAAAGGGAAAGAACTGAGGCATCTGGAAGAGGCATGGCACGTGGAATTAGAACAATCTACCCTGATGGATGAAATAAAAGGTTCTGTTCAAAATTCCAATCATTTGAAGAAGGCTGGAGCATATCAATGACCAAAACATTGTGAATATGAAGATGAGGATAACAGCCCAAAAAATGTAAATAATGTAAGTCATCATAATACTTCAACTCAGAGATATAGACAGATAAATAAGAGCAAGTTGACTATTTCTCCTCTCGTCAATCAATCTGAAGATAAATTCTCTTTAAACTCTATCCTCAATTCATCTGGAGTTTTCCACTTAGAAATGAGTCTCACTTGAGTGATATGCATATAACCCCTTCCATGGAAAATAAAAACAATTTTTTTTAATACTACCTAATATTTGTTTCAAAAATTTCATGTAGAACACATTTTCCTGACTTCTGAACATTTCCTAAGTAAATGATATATTGCAGTTGAAAAATTGTACGTGGTATAAAATGTTGTGAAAGATACTTTTAAAAAAAAATCAAATTCACTCCATGCATAACAGTAAAGTCGCTAAGACACAAGCGGTAACTGGGTGTGAAAGCATTAGAAAACAAAACCATTAGTGAGGAGTGAGAACAATAGAAGAGTAATCAGGAAGACAGTAAATAATGATTGACATTGCATTTAAATTTTTTAAGATCAAACTTGACTAGAAAGTCAGAAGAGCATTCCACAAACAAGTGCAAGAAAAAAAATTTTAGTATAGAACTTATGGTTACATCTAGCCAGTTAAACTGTAAATTTTTGAGACCTTGTTACCAATCTAGGACTGTGCTTAAATTCATAAATTCTAGGTACCATAGCAAAGAGCTTATCTGAAAGTGTTTATAGAAAAGGCACAGAAAAACAACTCTACAGTGGTGAGGATATGACTGAAGCTAAGATGCCAGATCAGGACCAATAATATTGCTGATTCTTCTTTGGATTTTATCAAGAATCTCTAAATAGACAAAAGGAGCAGCAGGCCAGATAAAGTTCAGCAGCAGTAAAGAAAGAAGATTAAGCTTCAAGTTCTCAATTCAGGATTGTCTTATGGGATAGTGGATTAAAGCCTTGAGTTGAATATTTGGTTAGAGTAATTTTGGGTTCACTCATTGGGCCAGCTAATACAGATTTAGATTCCATGGAAACAGGGTAAGCAATAACTGAATAGTACTAAAATGAGAACAAGATGAGATATCCATATGGACAATGAAATGGGAGCAATCTACCCTTAAAGATGAAATATAAGGTTTATTTTGAAACTTTTTAAGATTACCTGGATCAACCGAAGGTCATCATAATAACAACAAAGATGAGGATATTAGTATGGATGTAAATAAATCTGAAATATCTTATCAACCTAGGCTAACTAAACAGAATTACATTTACTCGGGTGCTAGTACAAAGGGGGATGTAAATGGGGTGGGGGTATACTTTTGTCTAATATGCAATTAATGGAGGCATAATAATCTTAACAAAAGAGGGGTTCATAAATCATTTAAACAGTGAAAAATATGATACTATTAATCAGTGTGGTTTTAATATACTCACAGTAGGGTGGGAGTAAAAACATATCTAAAAAAAAAAAAAAAATGTCGTCCAATCTATTAGGCATAAAATACATGCAGAAAATAAACTGAATAATGTTTTTCTTCACAAAATTCAGTTTTTCTATACATCTATGAAAAGCCTTGAGGTAAGCTTTCTCAAAAGACTTTTTGTTATTAAAAACACTGAAGTCGATCGAGACTTTCATATGGATGTCATGCATATACAGATACATATGCCAGACATATACAGAAATATCTAAGCTGTCACTTTCTCAGATCAATGGTTAAAAATAGTTTCCAATGAATAAAGACTGTCAGTCTTCATGATGACCATATTTCTTTGAACTTTGTGTATCAGCTTGGAGTGAGAACTTGAAGAGTCAAGTTTGAATTCCAATTGAGTTTGTTAGATTCACTTACACACAAATACCCTTGAGAAAGGTATGAATCTATCTCTTCTCGCTTCAACTATGAGTTGAATAGCAGGATAGACTGGGTTCTTTAGCTTTGGTTGGCGACCAGTCTACTGCAGAAAGAAATGGCAAACTACTGCTGGAAAACATCACCTCGTCAGTCATATACTGAAAGATACATGATTGTTCAACCATCTATCATATAGTTATTTTCCAAGCATAGCTTAGATGTGGCACAAGATTGAAAATATGGGGCATCTAGTGAGGATCGAACTCACTTTTCAGTTGTAACTGATCTAGCAAGACAAGCTTGCTAACCATTACACCACGCCGAGGTGCCCCTACCATCTATCATATATGGCACTTAAATGACTGACTGAACTGGTGATACAGAATCACAAACAAAAAATTCCCCCAAATAACAGAAACTACATCACTTGATGACTTCCAGCAGAAATAACAACTAAAATAGATATCACATGTTATATGAAGAGAAAATAATGACAATAAAGATGTTCATGTCCACACTACGTCAAACAAAAGGTTAAGAAGGAAACTGCCATCAATTCCAGCAAGAGCAATAACAGTTACTAGATTTGAGAAACCTATTTTCTTGAAAAATTGTTTTAAGAGAAAGATTTTATAAATTTCAACCGAAAATAACACAGTTTGTTATGTCAATAAATGCCAGATGTTTCTTTATAAGGAAACGGCTAATATTACCATTTCCATCTGCTTCAAATAGAGTAAATCACAAGCAGAAAAGGAAGAAAAACTTGTCAAGAATAAACATAATAGATTAGAAACCTGGATTAAAATGTCATTTCTTAAGCCTTAATTTTATTTTATGTGCGGTGCAACCGAGTTGACAGGAAATGGCTGAGTGTCGGAATGGACACAAGCAAGAAAAAATATTTGGCCTTTATCAGTTAAGAGAACATAAGCAGAGTTCTCAAATTATCAAGTCTTAGAAGCATTCTGTCAACAAACAATTTCTTGTGTATGCTATTAAATAGAGCATTCTAAAGGAAAAACAGGCAAAATATTTGAATAAATAAAACACATTTTCTGCCTTTAATCTCATAAGTGTGTAAAATATTTTCATGCATACATCCAAAACCTTTTATTTCTATCATATATTAATACATCTGTTTATCCATACATTTATGGATATATCTCTCGTGTGTGTGTGTGTGTGTCTGTACATATACACATTTAGGTATTGCACATATCTTGGCAGCATGTCTCATTAAACAATTTAGACAAGTTTTGGCTACTTGTTCATAATAGGATCCTCTCAAATTTACAGACAAGTTTCTTAGTATCCTTATTAAAGAAAGGAAGAAAATTACCATATTGATGCATATCCGTTACATTTCCGAGTACTTTCAACATCTTTTTATTTAAAAAAACAAGACCCTGAAAATGATATTGTGATAATATTGAAAGTACTTGGAAATAAAATGGATGTACATCAATATGGTAATTTTTTTTCTTCCTTTAATAAGGATACTAAGAAACTCATCCGTAAATATTAGAGGATCCTATTACGAATAAGACAACAAATCTTGTGTAAATTGTTTAATGAGACATGTCTTATATATTGCGGGGCCGGTAGGATGTCGCCCTGCAAAGGTTTTTAAGTATACGATAAATGTGAACAGCCAAGACAATGACGGGACAAAGGCAAAGGTTTTTTGTTATGAACAAAAGTGTCGTTTTTATTCACATTTACATCGGTGTGGTCTGAAAATGGTTAATCGACGAACGTAGCTGGTTCGGTCGATTGTAGCTGGTCTGGTCCGGTAGTTGGTCTGGCCCGGTAGTTTAGGTTTTTGCAGGCGAACGTAGTTGGTTCGGTAGAATGTAGCTGGTCCGGTCGAATGTAGTTGGTCTGGCCTGGTAGTTTAGGATTGGTAGGTGAGCGTAGCTGGTCTGGTCGAAAGTAGCTGGTCTGGCCCGGTAGTTTAGGGATTGGTCGGCGAACGTAGTTGGTTCGGCCGAAATGCGAAGACGGAGTCCCTAAACAGGGCCAAGGCAGACTAGTGATGCTACTTCACAGGGCGGATCGACCGCGGGAACGGGATCGCCAAAGTGTATCACCAGGCGAAGACGGAGTCCCAAACAGGGCCAAGGCAGACCAGTGATGCTACTGGCTCACGGGGCGGATCGACCGCGGGAACGGGATCGCGCCAAAGTGTATCACCAGGCGAAGACGGAGTCCCTAAACAGGGCCAAGGCAGACCAGTGATGCTACTTCACGGGGCGGATCGACCGCGGGAACGGGATCGCGCCAAAGGTATCACCAGGCGAAGAAGTCCCTAAACAGGGCCAATATAATACAACCCACAGGGCGGATCAACCGCGGAAACGGGATCGCGCCAGAGTGTATCACCAGGCGAGGTAGGTCAGAGAGGTGTTACACCTTCCAGGGCGGATCGACCGTGGAGACGGGATTTCTCGACAAAAGCACCGGAAACAAAGGTAGTGTACTACACTTTGATCCAGGCCTCGGGCCGAGCTGCCCAGTTTGGAAAAAAAAAGTGTTAAGGATATTTGCAAAGATTTGTTCGGTATTCCCTGGCTAGAGGGTAGAAGGCCGTAGATAATAAATTATAGTCTATGGTTGCCGATGTTTAGAATGGCTCAGCATAGTCAGATGCGTCTAGGTATGGTTTGACATCAACGATATTGACTAGCTGTCCGGTTTCTGGCCTGTTGCTTGACCTAGATCTGCGAGATCGAGAGTTCCAAGGTCAAGGTCGGCTTTGTAAGGAGCGGATTATCTTCCCCAGAAAATTGATCGTATCAATTAATAATAATATTTACGAAGGTCTTTAGGAAAGTGACCCTCCTACCGGATCGGGTCTGCCGCACAGGAGTCGCTGGGGTGTCGTTTGATGTCTGCGGTGCTGCGTCTGATGGGTGTGCTGGAATAGCATTAGGGGCCGCAGAGCCGGGTTTGCGTCATACTGTCGCTTCTCCAGAAAAGCAGGCTTGGTCCGAATTACGATGGTGTCGGTCGAGTTGGCGCGCTTGATCGTAAGGTGCTTGTCGGTGCGTCGAAGAACCTGAAAAGGACCTTTTGGTATGCCGGCGTGAGTGGTCGTCTCACGGCGTCGTTCCGTACGAAACGAATTTGCAATCTCGCAAGTGTTGAGGGATGTACGAATTACCGGTTCTTTGTATGGAGTTGCATATATAAGCCGGGCCATTTTGTGGCGGATCGACGAAAAGGAGATGTTGGTTTTGAAAAACGTCTGAAAGGAGTCGTCGAAGTATTCGCCGGGGTAGCGCAAGAGGTGTAGAAACCAGTTCGGCGGGTGAACAACCTAAATCCTCATTTTTACGGTGTTCCTCAATGCTAGGAGAATTAAAGGTAGGTCGTCCACCCAATTGATAGTGTGTCAGGTCTAGTGGCCAGGGAGGTTTTTAAGGACCGATGAAACCTTCCAACTAAGCCGTTGGCGCACGGATGATAAGCGGTAGTCTTTATGATTGGCGCCAGTAGGTTGGTAAACTCGAAAAGGGACGACTGGAACTGTGACCCCTGTCGGTCGTGATAACGTGGGGCGTGCCGAAAGTTCCAATCCACTCTTTCAGGATAAGAGACTGTGTTATTTGTCTTTTTATAGGTATGGCGGTCGGCCACCGCGAAAAACGATCCACAACCGTCAAAAGATTGGTAATCCTGACACATCGGAAGCGGTCCCACTAAGTCGACATGTATGTGTGAGAACCGTGCATCGGGACTGAAGGTGCCGACGGGGATTTAGTGTGTCGGTGGACCTTACACTTCTGGCACTCCATGCACGTGGAAACCCATTCTCGAATGTCCGCATTCATATTGGGCCAAACGAATCGGTCGGTAATAAGTTTGACCGTAGCTCCTTTTTGGATGAGACAGCCCGTGGAAATGTTGGAATACCTGTCTCCGAAGTGTCGGTGGGATGTAGGGCCTAGGGCTTAAGGCTGGTGTCACATACAGGGTATTGAAGGATGCAGGAACTCCGAAGCTTTAAAGAAGTATTCGAAAGGACGTCTTGCAGCGTGGGGTCGGATTTTGTTGGCTATAGAATCTTGACCCAAGACGCCGGTCATTGAATTTCCGCTCGCGATAATGTGTCTGCGACGGCGTTGTCCTTCCCTTTATGTGACGAATATCGGTCGAGAACTGTGACAGGTAGTCGAGATGCCGGATCTCGCGAGCTGTATACTTGTCAGAGTTGTTACTCATCGCGGTTGTCAACGGTTTATGGTCGGTATAGATGGTAAAATCTCGACCTTCCAGTAAGTGCCTGAAATGCCTGACGGCCAGATAAATGGCCAGCAGCTCTCGGGAGAAGGTGCTATATTTTCTCTGGGCTGGCGAAAGCTTGGCTGAAAAAGAATGCGATGGGTTCGCGTTGTGAGTTGAACTCTTGCTCAACCACCGCGCCCACACCAGCGTCGGATGCGTCGGTTGTCAGGAATAGTCGTGTCTCTGGATCGTCGTTGATATGCCTGGTATAATTCGCCAATGCAGCCTTCGCTGTATGGAATGTGCAGAGCATCTCCTCCAAAGAGATGTCCTTGTTTCTTCTCTGCAGCAGGTTCGTCAGTGGCTGGAGGATGGTGCAATTTGGTATGAACCGACGATAAAAATTGAGCATGCCGAGGAAACGTCGCAATTGCTTCATGGACGTCGGTGTAGGAAAGTCCCGGATCGAGCTGATCTTGTCTGGCAGAGGTGCTATGCCGTCTGCGTCGGTGCGGTGCCCGAGAAAGTCAACGCTGGGCGCCCTGGAAAACGCGCCTTGTCCAGGTTCAACTTCAGGCCGTAGTGCGAGAGTCGCTGGAAGACTCTCGCAGGTGTTGTCTGTGAGAATCGGCGTCTGTACTGGCCACCAAGATGTCGTCGATATAGGCGTATACATGCGGAAGTCCGCGCAGGACTTCGTCTATGAGTCGTTGGAAGGTCTGGGCAGCGTTACGTAGACCGAACGGCAGAAATTCGTATAGGCCAAACGGTGTTGTGACTGCCGTTTTTGGGACGTCTTCCGCAGCGACGGGGATCTGGTGGTATGCCTTGTCAGGTCGATTTTTCGAGAAGATGCGAGCCCCATCAATCCGGATGCAAAATCATGGATATGAGGGACAGGATATCGGTCTGGTACGGTCGATGCATTCAATTTCCGGTATCGACGCATATCGAAATTCTTCACCACCAGGTTTAGGCACTAAGTGTAGTGGCGAGGCATAAGGGCTATCGGAAGGACGAATGATGCCATCACTGGAGCATTTTGTCGAATTGCTCCTTGGCGTACGCCAGTTTGTGCGGAGCGAGTCGTCGCGGATGGGGAGTGTGCGGGAGGACCTCGGGTTCTGATGTGGTGCTGAGTCTGATGGTCACCTGAAGCCGTTACTGGATATGGCAGCGTTATATCCGTGAACTGCGTCAGGAGAAAGTTCGCGACCATGGCATGTTGCGATTGCCTTGAAACCTAAGACACGGAGATTCGTCGTCGTATCGGACAGAGTCCTAGGGTTCATATGGACCGCCAGTGCGTAATGCGCCAGGAAATCCGCGCCGAGGATGGGTACCTTCACGTTGGCCACGGTAAATGTCCAAAGTGAAATCGCGTCGCATGCCGATATTCAAAGTAAGGGTCCTTTCTCCGTACGTGTCTATCGCGGAACCATTCGCTGCTCGTAGTTTGATCAGGGTGGGCTTAGCGGTGTGGTCGTTCTGAAGGGTACCACGCTGATGGCCGCACCTGTGTCCACCAGGAATTTCAACTTGTTCCGTCGATCCCAAACGTAAAATAGACGACATTGCGTGTTGGCACCGGAAGAGTTAGTCGTCGCGACTCTCCGGTTTATTCGTTTCCCCGGGCCGACTGGTGTGTACAGGAGGTTTACAATTCCTGGCCTCATCGCCGAATGTGCGATGAAACCAACAAACACCCTGGTCGCTTCGCCGTTCTCGGCTGGGGGTTCGTCTCCGTCGAGATGGGGTCGATGTCCTCGTCCGCGGGCGCAGGGAGATCTGGAGCTCCCGAATTTGCCGTTGAAGGTCGGCCAACGCCCGTTCCGTTTTACTAGGCTCGTAGCGTTCGTGCTTCGCTATGTCGGGGCGCGAACAGCGTTAACGCTGTGGTGGTTGTGTCGAACTGCAAAAACAAGATCAGCAGATTCTGCCAAATCATCTAGAGGCGTGGCTCTCGTCATTGGTGCGATGATTTGTGCAACAGATTTAAAAATGCTCCAGCCATAAACCTCGAAGAACCTTTTCTGATACGTTGTGCTTTCCCAGCTGGTTCCTCATATCTGAGAAGCTGGGATGGCGTTTTGTCGCCTCTAGTGACGTTCCAGTATCTCTTGGATCATATCTTCTCGGAACGTCCGGACAGACGGTTCTTCGCGCAAATCGGAGAGGACATGAAATTTCGTCCATCATATCAGATGGGGAGTTTCTGCATTACATTCGCGAATCTGGCTCGCTGGAAGTAATGCGTAGCATTGAAAAGATGGATTCCACTTGCAAGAACCAGTTCTTGCATTATGGTGGTATGCAGGCAGAGGTATGATCGCAGCCGTCATGTCCAAAGAATCACTTTTAGCCGACTCCATCATCGCAGCTGTCTCACGTCGGGAAGTCACCACTTGTTGCGGGCCGAGTAGGATGTCGCCCCCTGCAAGGTTTTTAAGTATACGATAAATGAACAGCCAAGACAATGACGGGACAAAGGCAAAGGTTTTGTTATGAACAAAAGTGTCGTTTTTATTCACACATTTACATCGGTGTGGTCCGAAAATTGGTTAATCGACGAACGTAGCTGGTTCGGTCGATTGTAGCTGGTCTGGTCCAGTTGGTCTGGCCCGGTAAGGTTTGTAGGCGAAAGTTGGTTCGGTAGAATGTAGCTGGTCCGGTCGAATGTAGTTGGTCTGGCCTGGTAGTTTAGGATTGGTAGGTGAGCGTAGCTGGTCTGGTTAGCTGGTCTGGCCCGGTAGTTTAGGGATTGGTCGGCGAACGTAGTTGGTTCGGCCGAAATGCGAAGACGGAGTCCTAAACAGGGCCAAGGCAGACTAGTGATGCTACTTCACAGGGCGGATCGACCGCGGAACGGGATCGCGCCAAAGTGTATCACCAGGCGAAGACGGAGTCCCTAAACAGGGCCAAGGCAGACCAGTGATGCTTTCACGGGGCGGATCGACCGCGGAACGGGATCGCGCCAAAGTGTATCACCAGGCGAAGACGGAGTCCCTAAACAGGGCCAAGGCAGACCAGTAATACAACTCCACAGGGCGGATCAACCGCGGAAACGGGATCGCGCCAGAGTGTATCACCAGGCGAGGTAGGGAGAGAGGTGAAACCTTTCGACCGTGGAGACGGGATCGCGCCGAAGAGTAACACTCTCGACAAAAGCACCGGAAGTTCACAAAGGTAGTGTACTACACTTTGATCCAGGCCTCCGGGCCGAGCTGCCTAGTTTGGGGGAAAAAGTGTTCTAAGGATATTTAATTTGTTCAAGTACTCCCTGGCTAGAGGAGTAGAAGGCCGTAGATAATAAATTATGAGTCTATGGTTGCTGATGTTTAGAATGGCTCAGCATAGTCAGATGCGTACTAGGTATGGTTTGACATCAACGATATTGGACTCTGTCCGGTTTCTGGCCTGTTGCTTGACCTAGATCTGCGAGATCGAGAGTTGTGAAGGTCAAGGTCGGCTTTGTAAGGAGCGGATAATCGGCGACCGCGACAATATATAGGTCAACATCCAGCCAGTGGGTGGTGACCTAAGTGTCCACTTTTATATTTATATACACACTATCTATGATATTGAGCACTTTAATCCATAAATATATCATACCTTAAAACTATATTTATATATATTACTTACATTATTTTCATTATTCAGACTATTATCCTTATCTTCATTGCCATATTCACAACATTTTGGCCATTGTCCACTCAAGTCTTCTTCAGATGATTGGGATTCCGAACCAAACCCTTTATTTCATCCACCGGGGTAGAGTGTTCTAGCTCCATCTGCCTTCTGGATGTCTCAGTTATTTTCCTTTAACTCAATTACCCAAATGTCCTTGAGGACATGTGGCCCAGCAGATAAAGGTGTTGGTCAGATCCAGTGACTAGACCCAAAGAGTTGTGAGTTTAATACCAGTGGTGAACTGAAACTTGGAGAATTGAGTTAAAAGGAAAATAACTGAGACATCCAGAAGAGGCACAGCACATGGAACTAGAACAATCTACCCCAGTGGATCAGATAAAGGGTTTGGTTTGAAATTCCAATCACCTGAAGAAGGTTGGAGCATGCAATGGCCAAAATGTTGTGAATATGGAAATGAAGATGAGGATAACAGTTTGAATAATGTAAATATAACTTGAATATGTCATAAGAAATTCTTTCTCTTTATTTGTAGTATACTTCTGTTAGGTGAATCATAGTATCTATCCACCTTACATCTGTGAATGGACCTTTTCCAATTTAGTTGGATTCTATAAATGAACTGGATTTTCCTGACTCGGTAGCTTTTTCTGGAATTGGTTATTACTTTAATATTTGTAGTTTTTCATATTCTTCCATTGACTGAATTTCTAAATAATACATATTAACAGACAGAGTAAGGATTAGCCAAGGAGATTCATGCAATCTTCTTTATCAGTTGTAGCCCATCAGGACACAATCAGAGCTCCTTCATAGCTCAATAATTTTTTTCTTTTTATTATCTTTCCTAAACCTTTATTTATTCAAGCTCACTATGTTATATGTTATTTTCCTCTATTTTTCTTACCTATAGTCTAAAAAAAAGTATCAGATTTTCCAAGCTCTCTTTCCTCATTATGCACCTTAGAAATTTCAACTGTCTGTTGTTGACGTTAAATTTCCTTTTTATTACCATTTTCTCTAAAACTTCATTGTTGCTTACATTTTTGGTCCATAGTATCCTCAGCAACCTTCTGTAGAACCACATAGATCTTATTTTTCATAGAAAGTTTTTCTTTTTTTATTTTTCATGTCTATCGGGATGTGGACAATAATGGCTCCCCACAGCTATCTGTCCTTTGTAGATCTAAGCAATGTTTTTCATTTTATCATCAGTCCTAGTCTCTGCTATCCATTTATAAAAACTTGTTAGGGTACTCCCTTTTTCTTTCTGCCCTTCTTGCCTTCAGTTTGCTTTGTGTGTGTTAAATTCTTCACACCCTCTATCCTTTTTATTTTAAATACAACTGTCAGTTTTCATTCGTTTTTTCCTTAAAACTTCATTGTTATCCATGATATGATTCTTTTATTTATAGAGTTAAATTTTGCAAAACCAAAATAATAACTTTTACTAGGACTTTTTTTTATTCCCTCTGTATGATGTCAAAGCAAATCTGGAGTATTGCTGCCAAATCTTCACTTTCCAGCCTTGACAGAGTTCAAACGTTTATGCAGCCTTGTGGGTGATGAATTATTTCCTACCCCTTCCCCACAGTCAAAACATTTATTGTTCCTCACTACTCTATTGCTATCTTCATGGCAAATGTTTAGACAATCTATATTCCTTAGTTCCACCAGTCAATACCTTCACAGCTAGGATCCACCATGCCTCATATACGTAGTCGATTCATCTTATTTTTATTCACCTTCCATTAGTAATGAAGAAGTTTCACTCAACTTCTTTCCTAGAAGAGTTACTTTATGAAATAGACTTCCAAGAAGATGCTTCCCCAATCTTCCCCTCTTTAAGTCGATGATGTTATTTTTTCAATCATTTCATCCCAAAGAAGGAAATAAAGCCACAATGATGTGCGGGGAAAATGCAAGGAACTGTAAAGACAAAAGAACAAGAGATCCTCATAATATGCACTTCTTACTTCCTCCTTTTATGCCCTTAAAAACCCTTATTCAGTGACCCTCAATCTTGAGTTGCTCTTGGGCTTGTGTTTTGTGAACAATAGTATTAAAAAAATTAACACTGGAATTCCAAAAACAAGAGCTGTCCATTGTCCTTGTTCTTCAACACAAATAAGGTATACATTGTGAGGAGGTCTACTTTTTATTTCGGTCTCCAAGTTTTATTTCAAATACGTGTTGTATGCTCTTTTTTCTTTTTAAGTAGAATCTGCTATATTTTGTCACTGTTTTTTTTACTATAAATTTTCCACAAATATGGCAAAAATAATCAGAATTGTTCATACA